TAAATAATATAATAAAATATCTTCTTTTCGATAGGTGATACACTTGAAATAGCTGCTCAATGTGCAATATTAATAGGTGATATACCAAGTTTTGAACGAACTCTTGCACAACTTAAACCATTTTATTTTGACCTTGAGTATGTATATAGAAATAAAATCTTATATTTAATTTATTTTTTGTAAATTAAAGAGATCGTTTACCTGAATCACCTTATCGTTATCAGTTACTTGGTTTAAATTTACTGAGTTTACTCTCACAAAATCGTCTAGCTGATTTTCATACTGTAAGATTTTTGAATTTAATTTTATTCTTATATAATTAATTATTTACTTAGGAATTGGAATTACTTCCTCCAAAAGATATTCAAAATGATATCTATTTAAAATATCCTGTTTCATTAGAACAATATTTAATGGAAGGCAGTTATAATAAAGTAAGAAGAATAAGGAGAGTTATTCTCTTTACTCGTTTATTTCAGGTATTTCTTGCCAAAGGAACTGTTCCATCACCTTATTTTACATTCTTCATGGATATTCTTCTCGATACAATTCGGTAGTATTTTTTATTTTATATTTTATTAGTTTCTTAATTATTTATTTAAGTGATGAAATTGCATGTTGTATGGAAAAATCATATCGAACAATCTCATTTACTGAAGCAGCTCGTCTTCTCTATTTAAATAAAACTGATGAATTAGCTGCAATAGCCAAAAAAGTAAAGCAAAACTTTTCATTGAGAATTAATTAAATAAGACTTTCTTTTTGTTATACGTATATATAGCATGGTTGGCAAATAAAAGCAGATCAAATATTTCATTTTGAAAATAATCAAATGAAAGCAGATAATGAACATGTACCTGCTGATGAAATTGCTTCACAAATGATTCAATATGCACGTGAAATGGAGATTATCATTTAATATTAAAACTTTTCTTTTATTTCATTTTTGTTATTCAGATAAATTCATTACAAAAAAAAAACTGTTATTATCTTATGTTTTAGATAATAATTAAGAACAAATAACAAAATGTTTAATTTTAATTTCTCGGCTAAAATTAAAGAAGCTGAAGAACATATAAAACAAGGTGACAAATATATGAAAACATCATTTACGAAATGGAAACCAGATTTAGATTCAGCTATTGATGAATATGATAAAGCATGTACATGTTATCGTGTAGCAGAAAAATATGAACAATGTCGTGATTTATCAATAAAATTAGCTGATTTGCAAATTCAAAAAGGTAATCTATTATTTTTTTATCACGTATTTTAATGATTATTACTTTAGGTACTCCTTTTTTTGCTGCTAAATCATATGAACAAGTAGCTCAAATGACACAAGAATTAAAAGATTTAACAACAGCTGCTAAATATTTTGATCGAGCTGGACAATTATATACTGAAGCAGGTATAAATTCTATTGAATAGAAACCAGAAAAAACAAAGATGATATAAATATAAGATTTTTCTTTTTAGGTTATCGTGATTCTGCTGCAATACTTTATGAACGTTGTGCACCACAATTTCAACAATTAGATCGTGCTATATCTATTGATTTTTATCTAAAAGGTGCACGTTTAGCTGAACAAGAAGATAAAACATCTCAAGCTGCTGATTTATATGAAAAAGCTGCTATGCAAGCAATTCGTGCTGGTAATTTTCAACAAACAACTGAATTACTTGAAACAGTCACAAATTGTTTAACAAACATGGAACGATTCGATCGACTTAATCGAGTTATACTCTATAGAATATTATTAAAATTATTTAATGAAGATAGTGTTGCCGGTAGAAATATTTTTAATCAAGCTTGTCAAAATTATCCATCATTTGATCAATGGGAAGAACGAGATCATATTGAATTATTAATTGATGCATTCGATCAAGATGATAAAGATTTAATTAGTCAACGTTGTCAAGTAAATTATTTTTATTTTTTCTACATATTTGATGCATATTTATTTTTTTGATTTGGTAGAAACCTTATTTTATGGCAATTGAACCAGAGTTTGTACGATTAATTAAACGATGGATTCGTCCAACAACTACGACAGCAAATAATGTGAATCAACAAACAACAAGCAATTCCACTGTTCCATCGACTGGCGGAACGAAACCAATACAATTAGATGATGACGAAGATGATTTACGTTAATTATTTGTGTTTACCATTGTTTCATTTTTCCGATCAATAATGTGTTTTTCATATATCAATCTTATTTTAATATATATAAACGTGATTCAAAAATTCACAATATTTAAAAGCTAGTTTTTCTATAACTATTATAAATGATGCCGAATCTAGAAGCAAAATTTTTGCTGTAAATGCATTTCTATAATATGAATATCTAAGTGATAATATTTTTTTTAAATCTATTTTTAATTTTTATCGATTGTTTCTTATGATTAGGTTTTAATATCTTTGTTGAAATACATTTATTACAAAAACAAAAAACCATAAACTTTGATTATGTTTGAAAATAAAAATCAAAGAAATCTGATGATAATAGAAAATAAAGAATAGAGTTTAACAATCAAATGGGAGCGACGTCATCATTTGTTATCTATTGAATGAGTTATAAATCGATGATTTTTCTCATTTCTTGTAAATAGTCATTTAATGAAATTAACTTTTTAGTACGTTTATCATTTAAATCATCGATTTTCAAATTAATATCATCTTTCGTATTCTAGAAAAGAAAAAAAACAGATAAATTTCTTTGTTCATACAGATGAAAATGAGTGTCAAAAGTATACCTCTTTTTCAGCTATAATACCAATTAGAATAGAAAAGAAAGACAAAAGTTCAATATCTATATATGACGTTGACAATCAACCGTCAATTCTGCTCATGCGAAAAAGAAATGTGAATTTCCAAATGATGTTTCTTCTGAATATGAATTATTAAACTCGAAACAGACTAGACGAACTTGAAGAAAATATAGAGACATTGATTACATTGCTTTATTCACTTTAACTTCAACTAGTTGATTTTGTATCTTAGAGTATTTCGTAAAAAAAACTCGAAGTATTGGAATAAGAGGATAGTAAGTATAACTCGAAAAAAAACTTTGCTATTTTTTTCGTACCAGTTGGACAAAGTCATTGGTTCGATTATAATGTTCATCATCATCAACATTGATATTTTCAACAGCTGTATTAAGAACATCTTTTGAAACTATTGATTCTTCGTGTTGTTTATGATGCATTTCCCGTAGTTGTTCTACTAAATTTTTAAATACATCTGGATGTGCAATGTGTATATGGTTGAGCCATTTTCTTTCATTATTTCGTGTTGTTGTTGAACAAAATACGCACATATACCTAGGTCGATCATTCAGATCATCTGAAACGGCTATAACACGTCGTAATTTCTGCCGTAAACTGCTAAAACGGAGTGCCGTTTCATACCGTTTCCGTCGCTGTTATACCTCATTGTAAGTATATAAAAAAAGACATCGAGTTCGTTTTCACTCGAGGCATAACTTCGACGACTGAAAATGTTTAATGCTAAATCATGTTCAGCTTCACGTTGAATATCTTTATTCTTCAAACCTATAATAACATCATCACCATCTTTCTTGATATGCACGAATGGTATGTGGTACATTCAAAGAATTTTTCAGAACATCTATGATTTGAATCGATAGTAAAATAGCCTTCGTACTGAATATCGGTATCCATATCTCCTTCGTTGACAAGTTTGTTTATTGTTTCTTCAATTTTTAGCTGCTGCACTGCGATTTCCCTTCCTCGATCGATGTGTATCTTCAGCTGGTTGTTCATTTGTCACTTCCATTACTTCAGGTGCTGCCTCATGTAATATTTCAGGTACCCCACCTCTACCAGCCTCTAGTGAAATCACTTCACCAGTTACTGGTGTAGGATCAAGCCGAATTCATTCAGCTGATCCCTACCCATGAAGTTTAAATAATCCATAAATAATATCATCGACTGGTGTTATAATCTCTAATAACATGTCATTACAATTTTAAATATCATTATGATTATTAATTAAATTAACTTGATTAATAAATATTTCATCATCTTCATTGGAAATCGGTTCTAAAAAATCTAAAACATTTTTAAAGGTGTTACTATCAATATTTTTATTAATTTTTAATGATGTTGCTGAAGATGTTGATGGAGATGTAAATAAATTGATCAAATTAATTTTATTTAATTCTTCGAATGTCTAATAATCAACAACTGGCTTTGCTAAATATGCTATTGCAAGACAATCACTAATTAAATAATTAATCCATTTTTGATGTGTTGACTTTGTTAATGTTGTATTTAATGGATCAAGTAATTTAGACCAGTTATTAATTTATCAATAAAACCTCCGCCCACATAGATCATTGCAGATTGTAAGGACTAGATGCATGACATGTACAAATTGATAATAAATTAGTATCATCATATTATTTATTAGACAGATCACGTGTCCCACATTTGGACAATACCCAATCATACCAAGCTGGAAATAAATGTCGTATATCGTCTTGTTTTGGTTCAATCGAAAATTTAAATAAATTATTACTTTTAATTAGTGAAAATTCATAAGTTAATGAACCCCATAAATACAACATATATATGTCCTAGTATATTTATACCATAACAGTCGCATAACGGCGAGTCCTATTAATATCGTTTTCTACTCGTCTAGTGTCTGAAATGCACCGTTTTTATACGTTTAAGATTATATTTACCCTCGCATTTCCGTGGAATTACATTATTAAAAAGTTTTGCGATTGAATTAGTAACTGTTGGTATCTAAAAAGCAAAATATGTAGATGTTTATGAAAAAGAATTTACGAATTGAATCGATATAATTTTTAAACTATGAAATAACTTCAAATAACAAAAATAACAATACCAAAGTACAAGATTTCTATCTTTCGAAGAAGGAAAGACAATAATTACATGGGAAGCTATAGTATATACAAGTATATAAGTTGAGATATTTTTAATGATGTTTGTATGATCATATTCTAAATATGTATTGTACAAGAGCATGTTGATATGAAATCGTTAATCTTCTGAGCATTACTAAAAATACAATCTTTAGATATTTTCAATCGAAATTACATTCATTCGTTGTTAAATTGTATCTACGCAAAGTAACAAAAATATTTTCGTACAAGCTAAATAAAATACATTGCATGAAGTATTAAAATAATCAAAAACAGCCCTTCAGAATAAAATCATTAGATAATTATTAAAAAAACTAAATGAAATGTAGAAATTAATGGGTGTGAGTTTGAATGGATATAAATATGATACCCACACCTTCAAGATATTGATCGTAACGTCATATATGGTACAAAGACGTGCCATACATAATATATATAAATATTCGTTCTTTTTCTTTCTTGCACACATATACATATATTGCCAGGTATAGTTACTTCTTACTTACTTTCTGCCAGATATTTCTTTCCATTGTTTTCTCTTCTGTGTGTGATTACTTAGGTATTCCCCCTGAATATTAGTATATTTTTGTAAAATAGAGCTTTATAATAGAAAAATATAACTGTTGAATAGGGGTATTACTTTATCTTTATTTTGCTTTATAACAAAGATTTTATTTTCTTACCGTAACTCACAAAAAATTATGATATTATATAGTTAACTATAATATGGAATAGCATTTTTCGTATATATCGTTTCTTGTGCGATTCTTTTTTTTGATGACATGACATATGGAAATGATGATAAGAAAGAGCATTAATAAACGTATTCTGTTGTTATACATAGGGTATTTGCATATGTACTTATTGTATGAAAAAATGTATTTTTATTCTTTATTTTAACTTTGTTTTTGCAAATAAAGATTATTTTTATCTTTGGATCATATTATAAAGAGATTTGCTTTATTTTAAAATAAAGATTAACTTTATTCTTTATAAAATAAAAATAAAGTAAGTCTTTATATCTTTATTTATAAAGTATTGATAAAGTACCACCCCTACTGTTGAAGCATATTAAACTTATTTGATAACGAATTAGGAATAAATCGAGATTGCACAGAAATTACAGTTTCAACAATGAAACTTCGACATACACAACTTAGCTTGAGGGATATGTGAAAAAAATTAACTTTTTTTTCCATTTTCACTATATGAAATGATAATATCTTGCGAACGATTTGTTTTATTCTGTGAAAAATACTCCTATATTTAAGTGTCAATTAATCATACTTTATATGACTTTTTTACATTTTTATAATTAAAATGCTAGTTTTATGAAATTTTCTGTTATTATAGTATTGATCTTACTTAACTGTAATACTGCCGAAAAGTTCAATAATCCTTTAAAAACAGTATAAAGAAAATTAAAAGACTTATAAAAATCAAATACTTTTAAGCAGCAAGAAAATATTCTTTTTTTATAGATATAATAGAAGACTCGTATTTTAATTTGTGAAGGATAAGACAAATTAGAAAATCCGGGACCTTCTAATGTATTCATGGCTTTTATAGAATTAAACATCGACTCCATTTTTGTTTTCCAAAATATATATAATATACAAAAACATTTTACTTTAACAGTTTTTTACTTTTTTTCGGAAACTTTGTATTTCCTTTAAAAAATAATGATTTTTATGTTGTTTTAACAAAAGTCAGGTTTTATGTTCATTGAAATAGTTTGCTTCTGCATTTACATATATGATTAAAACATTTCTGTGATATTTCTTATTAACAGAAGAAAAAAGGTAACATCTGGCAGGATTCTGTATGAAGCTAAACTGAACAAAGGAAGAGAACTCATTCATTTTTATTTCTATATGATGTGTTTGTTGCAAAGGATAAAAAAAAAGATTTCATAATCAATGAATCGTATAGGCGAATAAAACTGTTGTTTAGTTCATCAGTTTTTTCTCAACGTCACATATATTAATATACTTCTATTATTTTACTAATTTTCTAGTAAATTACTTGAGAAGATTACCAAAAACATTTATATTTCTATTTGATTTTAAAAAAAAGAGTTATTATAGTTGGTTAATAGTTAGCATTTCAACAAGGTAAATACATTTAATTTTTTTTTCTATTTTTCAGTTTGATAGAGTTAGTCGAAAATATATTGATTTAAATATGAATGTTAATTATTAATCGTTCTTATTTTCTAATATGATATATTTCATTTAGATATTAAACTCAATCTATCAATAAAAAAAGATAAAATGAGAAGCTGATTCCATTAGTTTTATTCCCACAGGAAACGTGACATTTTTTTTATGAAAAGCGCTGATTTTCAGTGTTAGATTAAGTAATACTAATTGCATTAAATGTTAGTTTAAGCAGTTTGCTTCTCCATCCTACGTAGAAAAGTCTGATATTTATAGGAAATAACACAACTGACATCTGACAACATTTTTTTTGCAAAATCATTCTTGATAAAAAAAGAGGTGAGTTAAACATTTTTATTTTGTATTATTCTTTTCTGCAATTGTTTTACATTACAGGGATTATATGCATAAAGAACTGATCACTCAAGAGAACATAACTTACTAGTAATATGATAAATACATATTCTATTGTTTTTATAATTATGCAGTTACAATAAATCTACAAATTATTTCATCATTCTTTTTTTTTTACTTGACTAAATTAGACACCGAGAAATAGTTTTCATTTTCTATAATTACATCGCTATTTCCTGAAAATATGTAAATTAGAAGACTGTTTTTTTATAGATTTTAGATTGAAAAAGTATTCAACTTTGGATGAAACATCAATTATGGATAACAACAGTGTAGCAATTTCTCATGTATTTTATTAAAAGAAACAAAAAACAATACTAAATAATCTTTTGTCTTTTTTAAACATTTCAGTCTGATGCTGTTAGTTCAAACGCAGCAGAATCAAACCTATTGTATGTAGATTATCAATTATAATATATAATAAAACAAATCTATTTCTCTAGATGTCAATATTTTCGAAAAAGGAAACGCTTGTGGATAATATTTTTTACTATTCTCGTTATTTTAATCATTGCTATTTCAATTAGTGTTCCTCTTGCAAAAAAGGCAAAAAATGAAAATACATTAACGACACAAGAATCAACAATTGAAACAAGAACAACAAATGGAGAACCAACGGCAAACACACTATTAACAACAACAAATGAACAATTAACAACAAAAATAACAACGCCAGAGACGATAAAAACAACAGTAACGTCAACAATAACAACATCTTCAACGACATCCTCAGCAACATATTCAACAACATCAGCTTCAACATCACCAACAACATCAACAACAACATCATCATCAACAACGTCATCATCATCAACAACGTCATCATCATCAACAGCATCAAAAACATCATCCTCAATATCAGAAGGATCATCAGAAACATCATCAACAATATTAGAAGCATCATCAGAAACAACATCGTCAAAATCAGAAACATCATCCTCGATATCAGAAGCATCACCAGAAACATCATTACCAGTATTAGAAACAACATTAGAGACACCATCAGAAACATCATCAACAATATCATCAACAACATCATCAACAACATCAGAAGCATTATTAGAAGCAACATCAGAAGCATTACCAGAAACATCAACTACTTCTACAAAAACAACAACAACAACATTATCTTGTAAGTAATAGAGAAGATTATTCTCAATACTGAGTCACATGAATCGTTGCTGAATTTATTAAATCTGAAACTTTTTGTTCCAAACTTTTGTTTGATTTCAAAGTTCAATAGATAAACTGTAGTCTTTTGTTGTAAAGACTTTTTGGACAGATCTATGACTCTCGAAGCTGTTTTACAATAAAGCATCTCTATTGTGAGTATCATCAGAATCGGTCAAAAGTATTCACTATAGGAAGTAGTAGTATATTTTGTTGTGAGATAAAGTTAAAATTCCAGAAATCTATTTTCAAATAGGTTCTCGGTGAACATCTATTTATTTTGTCACTTGTTTATATACTTTAACCAATTCGTTCGTACGATGGGTGTGAGGGTGGATGTCGGTGAGAGAAGAACACACTAACAACCACACACCCACATTCTCAAGGTGGTGTGTGTCGCAGAAGGATAAATCTGAAGTAAACATTCGTAAAAACGATGTATAAAGCATCCACACTTAGTGATACACATACTCACAGCTTCACGATATTCATCCATAGAAAAGAAATTCTACTTAAAGTATTATTGGATGTGGGCACTTTTTCGCTATCCCTCTGTGATAACACACCCGCATCCTTATTATTTTACCGTCTTTGACAACGACTATAAGATACACAGAAGCTCGATTAGTGTTCTGCTACAGAAACTATGCATTGGATAAAATATAATTGTACTGTGATTATTTAACTAACGAATAAGAAATATACTGTCAAAAAAATGGAACAGTTATATTTACTTACTAGAAATGATATTCAGCAGAACACGAAAGATGTTAACTATACATATAATAGGTTTAGTTAGCAGACAATACATTTTTAGTGATAATTCTTCAACTAGCTTAAATTCAACATGTGCTCTATTTAATATTTGATGCGTAAAAGTCTTTTTTCAAATAAATTATTGTTATTTATATAGCAACGACGACTTCTACAGCTACAAGCACAATTACACCCACACCCTTAACTAGCAACACCACAACCATAACGTCAACTATGATTACAAATCCATGTGAGTAAAGAGAAACTATACATAACTATTGTAGTACTTGCACTATGAGTGATTTAAATCTTTTGTCTGCAGTGACTGAATTTTTGTGATGTGATGCACATTTTTCAAAGTGTTTTGAGACCTTGTTCGAGCCAATGTCATATCATATCGATGTTTCAAAAAATCAAGTTCGCACAATTGCCTTAGAGAATAAATATTTACTGAGTTAATTGATTGATTCATCTGAATGTAAAAAGAATATATTTGAAAGTTTTCATATATATCAAGTATTTTCAAAGTTAATATTTCGTTTGTTAAAAAGTTATAATATTCATTGTTCACTAAAGAGAAGATATTATATAATTTTCAATAGAGATTAATTTCTATCATGTGATATCTGTTTCTAACATGTATGAATAGATATGAGGACCACTCTATAAGTTAAGCAGTAGCATATTAATATTTTATAATTTATACTATTTTTAGGTGTATCCGGTGATTTACGTTGGAATACAACAGGTATTACTGTAATCAATTCACCACCAAATATGGGAGCTTCGGGTGTATTCGTTGGCTTAAATGGTACTTTGTATTCTGTAGATGAAAATAGTAATTTCGTTGTATGGAAACTATTAAAAAATGCTGTAAATGTAACAATCGCAGCTGGATTGTATAAATCACAAGGATCTAATAGTTCTCAACTAAATTATCCAAATGATATTTATGTCGATAGATATGGAAGTTTATATGTAACTGATGCTTACAATCAACGCATACAAAAGTTCAGTAATGGATCAACAACACATGGACAAACTATTGCCGGTGTAACTGGATCAGCTGGGTCTGCATTGAATCAATTCAATGTACCACGATATTTTACTTTTGATGCTACAGAAACATATATGTATATTGCTGACTATAATTGTCATCGAATTATGCGCCATTCAACGAATTCAACTGATGGTACTAATGGCGTTATTATTGCAGGTGGAACGGGATCATTTAATCAAAACACATCGTTGAATGGGCCATGGGGTATTCATTATTTGCCATCTGTAAGCAATGATCTATTTATAACAAACAACGGTGGACATTCAGTAATGCGTTGGACTCTTGGTGCTACTTCAGGCACCTACGTTGCCGGTACGCCGGGCGTAGCAGGTTCCAATTCTACTCTCTTAAATGGCCCGATGGGTATTAAAATTGATTCTTATTTGAACATGTACGTTGTTGACCATCGAAACCATAGAGTACAAATGTTTTGTGCAAACAATCAAACTGGCATCACCATCGCTGGAACTGGTGTCGCTGGTAGTAGCGCCATGCAATTAAGTGGGCCAAGAGGTATTGCATTCGATTCTGAAATGAATATGTACATTGGAGATTTCGATAATCATCGCGTGCAAAAATTTATCAAGCTCAACACAACGACAACTACAACTGCAAGTGAGTAATGCGAGCAATAGTCTATAGTTGTTTTGACATTGGATTTATTCTTAATTACTGTACTGAGAAGTTTTGAATTGTGAGCTCTGATTGTCGCCCGTCTGTATGGAGAAATGACTTTAGAGATCATTTTCTTTGTGATCTTTGAACTAGCGAAACTTTTGATCGTTCAAACTCTGTCACCGTATATCGGGTATTTAAGACACTCAATTGGCCTGATTGTGTCTGACATTTGTATAAGACAATTTCTTTCATACAAAAGACTTTGTCAGGATTAATCATGGTGATTACTCTATTCAATTATTACTAGATTGTAAAATGTTAATACTGGTAGACATCGTAACTGAGTAAAGTTGAAGAGCATTAATCGTCTTAGAATTGCTTTAGAGATACTTGACTCACATATTGAGGTATGTCAGGAGGTTTCTTGTATTTTTGCATATGCGAAGCTTCAAATCTTAGAGGGTAAAATAAGGAGCATTTTTTTCTTCAGTAGTTTTGTAGACTTATACGCTTGGTTTAAATCATAAAAAACAAATAGCAAGGGAAAATATTTAGAATTCACTGTATCCTCCAACTACAAGGCTGTTGAATAGGAGCATTCCCATTTTAATTATGAATTTTATTAGTTAATAATTACTCGATGTTTTTTTTATTTAGTTTGGCAAATGGTAGGAACTGGCTCTGTTATTGGTGATGCAGGGTGTTATGGCCTTGGATCTAATTATGTAGGAAATTTCAGCCAATGCAAATCTAGTTGTGAATCAATGGCAAATTGCAGTGCAGTAGATTGGCTGGTAAGTGCATTATTATGTGTGTATCGCCGATGTACTACCTATCCGCCAAGCACTCATCCACAATCGGGTGGCTGGGAAGCATGGGCTATTAAAACGTCATGTAAGTCATTCGAGTTTGAGGGTGTGAATCCTTTAGTGGAAAATAATATACATACACATCCACCCACTCTCAAGTTTATTAGACAGGATCGAACTCAGTATATTTAACCATTGCTAGTGCCCTGACCATCTGATACGATACCTTAGTTCTCAATAGTTTTATTTCGTGTTTTAAGAATATTTCGTTAATTCTAAATATAAGTATGCTGTCAACACACTTTCTAAACATCATCTACATGAAAGTTATTTAGATATTCTCATAACAAAATATTTCTGACTGACATAGTTGAAAAATACTTTATCAGAACATTATACTCAAACTGATCGAGAAACAAAGTAAAACCTAAGAAAACACATTTTATTCATAATAAAATAATGAAGTTCGATTTAATTTACCGGCATTATTTCACATCTAGTGATATAAGAAAACATCAACGTTGAAATTGTTCATTTGAGTTATTTAATCACAATGATATCGACTTATAAATAAAACAAATAATAAGCAAAATAATTCACATAGATAAATAGGCATTCGATCGCTACTGATGTCAGTTATGTTATAGATATTCATGCATAGAAAAGAAATTCAATCTAAACTATTGTTGACAAATACTTAACAAGTTTATTTTGTTGTAGCTCCAATTAATCCACCAGCTGTTATTCAGTGGTTATTCGATGGCGATTTTAACGATGTATATGGTACTTATAATGGATCTTTAGTCAATAACAGTAATGTTATATGGATGTCACCAGGCTATGCTGGATATGGAAGTGCCGTTTGCTTTTTATCTACCAATTATCTACTCATCAATCATTATCTTAATTTCAATTCAATTAGCTTTACGATTTCTGCTTGGGTATGGATTCCAGCAAATCTATCGTTGAATGGAAATTTCTTTGTATTATTTGTTCATTGCAACGTAACTACTCAAGATACGTGTCTGCACGTTGGAATAAATGGTGGCAGAGTCTTTTTAGGTTTCTTCAGTGATGATTTAACAGGAGGTACTCCACTGACATCCAACCAATGGTATCATGTTACCTACGTCTACGATCGATCATCACTTAGACAGACTGTTTATTTGAATGGAATTCATGATGGAAGTCGAGTAACTTCTGGTCCTTATAAAGGTACTGCAAGCGTACTGACTGTTGGAGCCATTCCATCATTCGATGAGCGATTTATTACTAGTAATGGTTTCATTGATAAATTGACATTTGTACCACGTGTTAAAACAACTGCTGAGCTTCTTGATGAAGCCACTCTTGTTGCTTATTATCCATTCGATAATTCGTATACTGATCTCGGACCCAATCGGATCATTAATAGTAGTAGTGTCTCGACCATGTTTGACTCGTCTGGTCGATTTAACCAATCTTTATTGATCATTTCAACAAATTCATCTTACTTTCAAACAACAGGTTTCTATTATCTTGGTCAAACGAATTATCCATATTCATTCTCTTTATGGATTTATCCATTCGTCAATGATGGTACTATTCTTCAGGTAAAATTCATCTAAATATAATCATCATCACCAATCTATCTTGATTAATTAGGTCAGTTCTTCGAATGGTTGGTGTGTACCAATGATTGGCTTTGATATTTCTGGTCGTCTAACAATCCAGACAATGGGCACTAATGGCATTTATGCTGCTTCATTAACTTCTGAAACACTACCATTAAATGAATGGACTCATGTGATTATGACTTATTCAACTATCAATGGTATTCAACTGTTTATTAATGGAACATTCATTGCTGGTAATAATAGTGTTACAAGCTACTCGACTAGTGGTCAAATAAGTACAGTTACTATTGGAACTTGTCTTTCTCCAGATACATGTGCTGTTAATACAACAACAATTGTTCCATCACAATTTCAAGGAAAGATTGATGAATTAAAAATCTTTGCTCGTGAATTATCATTAAGTGATATTGGTCAGCTAGCTCAAGGTCAGTATCTTTAATTGAGACATTAATAAAAAATAAGATCGTTTGCTCAAATCGTACGAGAGATAACCCATTTTTTTCGGTAAAGTAACTTTTGATTCATTCTGACAGGTAAAAATAATAATGTAAGCAGGGAAAATATTTTATTTTACTGTTTTCAGTTTTTGAATAAGATCATTGGTAAATATGACTTTTTTTGAGAATCGAATACTCTGTATTATTGTAAGCTATCATTGTGCAATTCCCACTGAGTGTATGAAAAAGATGAACATGAATAGAGTATATCATCGTTTGTAATACTTATTATTTGCAAGAAATATATATTGAACTTTTAAAAAGACACTTTTTTCTTCTGGAAAAATTCGCAGTAAATTAGAGGCTTAATATATAAACTAATGTTAATATTATGAATTATTGTTTAGCAACAAGCTTATATTCATCTGGTCCATCCAGTTTCTGGAAATTTGATAACAACGCCTTAGATAGTATATCAAATCTCAATGGAGTAGGTGTCAATTCACCTGGTTATGTAACATCTGGAATTACTGGTAGCGGATATGCTTTAAATCTCATTAAAAACAATACTCAATACGTAACAATAGCAGCCAATCAAATATTCGCTAATACTAGTTTTACAGTGGAAATGTGGATTTATCCTACTTCATTAAACGATATTTTTTATGGACTCTTCTCTCAACATGAAGCCCCGGGAAAAGATCGTCTATTACATTTGATACTTCGTTATCAACGTCTTTACATGGGTTTTTTTAGTGATGATCTTACGAGTGGAACTGCAGTGTCAACAACGTTCACTTGGTATCATGTTGCTTTCGTCTACGACTATCGATCACGAACACAAATCGTATACTTGAATGGATATCAAGATGGTCTTCGTACTCCGGCTGGACCATATTTAGGAAACTTAGGCGCAATAAATATTGGAACATTTTTTGATTCTGCTAATATAACTCAACCTTTCAGTGGGTAAGAAAAACTGATTAAGCGAAAGCATTGAGGTTGAGTAGTGTTACCCATTCTCTATCAATTAATTCCTTAAGCTTAAGAACTTGAAAAGAAACAGACATTATCATTTGATTTTTAGTCAATATATTACTCTTATACTTTTAGTTACATTGATCAAGTTTCACTGACCAAGCGAGCTAAAAGTGCTAGCGAAATACTTGATGATGCTACTTTGACTACATGGCATTCATTTGATAGTATACCATTACAGGACTCTGGTCCACTTGAACTCATTGTAACAACTAATAATGTTACTTTAGCAACTGGAAAGGTGAATCAAGCATTAAATTTCAACTCAAATTCATCTTATTATCAGGTATGTCGTTGATTTTATTTAACTTTTCATCATTATTAGTCTAAACAAAAACTTGAATATATCGAAGTTAATTGAGTGTACACACTAAGACACACCGTTTGACTAATTAATAAATATTTAAAATTCAGTTGACCCATTGATTTCGTCTAACTGAATATCCGATCAGCGCTCATGAGAAGACTTTATATAAAAATAACTATAAAATCATCGAATCTATAATATTTATTTAGATACAAAGTTTTGTTCTTCTTGGAATCTCGAACTATGCATATTCCATTACTTTGTGGGTTAAACGAACATCAACAGGTGGTGGAACTCTTATTCATCTTTCATCACAAACAGATGGACTAGGATGGTGTGTTACTCTTTTAGGATTTCGTTCTACTGGTGCAATAGCAGCCACCAATTGGGATTATTATGGTAAGGAAGTGGTAGGTCCAGTTATACCCATCAACGTCTGGACGCATGTTGCTAGTACCTTCTCAACCATAAATGGACTTCGATTTTATATAAATGGAATATATAGTGGTACTACAGATGTTATGTCATATAGTACTGCACAACAAGCAGTTATTTTAACATTGGGAAATCCAATGGCGGGTGGCTCCTGCAATTCATCGTCAATTGCTACGGGTGTTTATTTTGGTTCTCTCGATGAATTTCGTATTTATTCTCGAGAACTGAGTGCTACGGACGTTCATGCACTTGCTAATCCTTAAAACAAAACTATAAAAAAGATTCTCTGCTTTCTCTATAATATATATAACACATTTACAGAATACTCAAGTTATATTCAAGCAATATTTCTCATTAAAAAGACTAATTAACAAAACGTTTGCTTTTACGCTTTTTATGTTGTGAAAATGCTTTTCTGAAAAATACATTTGAATGCGAGTGTGTGTAACTGAATATTGTATTTATTGTCTAAGATCATTTATTCTTTTTATGTTAAGTAACGAATCAAAGTATTAAAATCAACAAAGCGAGTAAATAAATGATAATAATATTACAACTGTTCACTCGATTAGTTATACTTTAATCAAAAATTCCACTCCTAATCTCACTTGCAATAAATACACTTATATCATATATTTCAATCGTTGATGAAAATACTGTAACAATTCTACAAACTATGTTTATTTATATCTTCTACTTTTTTCCATCATCTGTTCATCAATTCTATTTATATTTAAGTATACTTCAAGCATCTATTCGCATAGATTTCATATAGATATTTTTTTTGATGTATAATAAATAGTATCTGCTAAGCACTAAGGTATCTTACTTTCTTTTACTGCAATCTTGAAGGTGTGGGTAATGAAAGAGAAGAATGTTTTTATTTTGTGTTAAAAACTAAGATGACTTAGAAAAAAGCACTCTTTCTGTATAGATGTATTGCGTTCTGTTGAAATGAATGTGAAATCAACCGAACAAATTAATGTTAATACGTAAGTATTTTTTTTCTTTTTCTACTTCGTTTAATATGAGCTATAGAGAACGAGAATAATCGTATATTTATTTCTCTCTTCAAACACATTTTTTTTCTTTCCTCACATCTTTATATGTATATATGTACATATACATGTAATAAACGAAGTTTCGTCGACGTTATTTCACTTTTTTTCGTATTAACCCATTAATGTTCTTCCTTTTGCATTCTAGATTAAACGATCTATATCAATTATGAGTAGCAATACACATTCGTTTAGTTACGTTCAACCTACTATTGTCTCTCTTCTAATATTATCCTCATTTATTTATCTTCTCAGTGTTGCTCGTTCTCTAGCACATCATCTATTCTATGCTGGTCTTATTGGTCAGATCCTTGTTGGTATGATTTATGCTAGACCACTAGCAAATATTTTAAAACCAGAATGGGAACAAACAATACTCGATTTTGGTTATATAGGATTATTATTAGTCGTATTTGAAGGTGGTCTAGAAACACGTCTTGATTTCTTAGCTGTCAAAAGTAACTTATTTCTGTCATCTGTCATTGGTATAACTGGAATTATAACACCCATTGGTTTATCAATTATTTTATGTACATTTGGATTTAAATTTAATTTGTTAGAATCATTTACGATGGGTGCTAGTCTAAGTGCAACAAGTCTTGGTACAACATTTGCTATTCTATCATCACATGGCGAATATCAATTAAATAAAAGTCGTATGGGTACAATTCTTGTTGGTGCAGCATTATTAGATGATATATCTGGATTAGTTATTGCAAGTGTTATTGAAAAACTTGGACATTTAGGTCAACAAAATCTTCCATGGTTAATTTCAAAGCCAATTGTATCATCAATAGCTATGATTGTCATATCTGCCTTGTTAGCACGTTTATTACTTGGACGATTATGGATAAAAATAAATTTCCAAAATGCGATTATCAAACGTTATTTAGATCATCTACTTTTATTCTGTTTAATTTCTACATTATCAGCAACTGTTACAATTGCAGCGTATACGGGTGCATCAACACTTGTTGGTGCATATTGTTGTGGAGCTCTATTACGTTATCTTGATGATTGTCAAAGGAAACATTCAAATGAAACTGAACAGAATGATACAGTATTATTTACACATGTCTTTGAAAAATATATTAAAGTAGTAAAAGAATATATATTTGCACCTTTCTTCTTTGCATCGATTGGCTTTGCTGTACCCTTTCTCGATTTATGGCATGGACAAGAATTATGGCAAGGTATCTTGTATGCATTATTGATGATTTTTGGCAAAATTATCACTGGAGTATGGATTATTATTTGGACATATGTTTCACCTCACTGGAAAAAACCAGTAGCAGTAAATATTGCATCGACAATACCAGTATGTAGTACAACTCGTTTTTATCTATATAATAAATTTTTCGAATTGTTGATGCTAAAACTGCGAGTTTGAGTAAATACGAGTAGGCGAATATGAACTAGAGTTCAATATGTCTATATGCATTTAAAAATTACTCTATAAATCATTCGCACCTGTTCAACCAAGGACGGGTCACATCACCAAAATTCTGAAAAGAACAATAAATTCTTTTGATCAATAGTGATATCTCAAAAGATCTACTGGAAATCTCAGAACAGACTTATTTCATCTTTTAACAAATTTTCTATAACTCAGAATCATTATAATATTTTATTCTAATATCTACTTTTCTGCTCCTACGTTTTTATAAGACTTAATGACTACTCTTGTGTTTATTTGTAAGTTACTAGTTGGTTTCGAAAGGTAGTTCGTTCTGTGCTAAGCAGCTTAGTCTGCGTTGATATTTAGAACAAATCTGAATAAGTTTTTGAAAGTATAAATACTCTTAGTTATTTAATTATTTTTGTATCTAAGACTGAAATATCAATGATTGAACGACCACCAACACTGCCACTATCTACTTCATCGCCTGTACTCATCACTCATCGAAATATATCTTCTGATGTTCCTCAAAACAATACAACTGAAACAATTGCACCATCAGTAACAGTAAAAAAATCAAGAAGTGTTTATCCTGCTTTACTTGTTGGTTTAAGTATGGTATCGCGTGGTGAAATCGGTTTTCTCATTGCAAATATTGGTGTCTCAACAAGTATTTTATCAGCAAAAGCATTTATTGTTACAATTTGGGCTATACTATTAAATACAATTCTGGGCCCGATTGCTGTCGGATTGACAATCAAAATATTAGGATCAAAATTAAGCGATGGATTATGGATTGACTGAATAATAAGATTATTTCAGTGTAGAAACGATATATAGGACTAAAAGTTCGATATTTTTGTAAATGTTTTTATATCTTGAGGGTGGATG